GCTAACTGCTGGTTCCCCAGAGAAGAAACAACTTTTAAGAACTAATATACCATTATCACACCTAAAATCTTATGGTAATTCCTAAATATCACCAAAACTAGTTTTTTAAATTTCCCCAGTTGTTCTTAAATACATACATGGAAAATGTGTATTGTAAAAAAATGGCATGGATTTCAAATCTTTTCTGGCACCAAAATAAACTTGTATTTTACAGTCACACTTTTCTGTAAACTTCTTGGAATCCCCTTGTATATAGAACACAAAGAAACAAACACACATTTGGTTTTAACAGCCATTGAAGATCATTGCCTAGGTCCTTTGTTTCATTAGGGACTAAAAAATAGTGATACCCTATTGTTCTGTTTTTATTCTCTGGAATTCTTCTAAAATGAAGAACTTTTGTTTATCAAATTTGTAGATGATGTACCCGAAAGGCTTTTCTCATTAGGGGTTCAACTCTTTTTTTCAGAAAAATGACTTGAACTCCTAATATTCTCCAAAGATAACCAATAATATATTTTTAAACATAAAGTAGGCTTTGGATGTTTCAAAACACTTTTGATTCTTTGGTCTATTTACTGTAATTTGTCCTTTTGTGTCCTAGCCTTGGCCAATGGGAGCTTCTTAGCTCCTGTGTCATCTTGGCACGATCACAATACTCTGGGATGGTTTTCTTCTTTTCTCATATTGTAAGCTACCCCAGGTTCGCTTTATGAATTCCCTACTCTAAACCTAAATGACAAGTTCTCCAAAGAGTCTTGGCTCCTTTCTATAGGAATGGTGTTTAAAGATGACAATGAGTGGTGATCACTGTTAGTAGGCCCAGAATACTATTTTTTAGTCCTTCTTAGTACATATTTTTCTCCTTTTTAAAAAATGGAATAAATTAGAAATTCATAGTAATATTTCTAATTTAACTTTGTTAGGTTTTTACTTCATGTTTTGATTTTATATTTATCTATTTTCTGAAATGTGAAAAATGTTGGTTTATAACATTATTAACTTAATTATGTATTTGTTTTATCCAGTTATATATGTGGATGTGGTTTGTATGTGTAATCCATCACTATTATTTCTGACAACAGGACTATTGAAAAGTTTAAGATTTCTTTCTTTCTTTTCTTTTCTTTTTTTTTTTTTGGAGAGCTTTTCACTATAGGGTGCGTGTGCTCGCCAGACAGACAGAGAGAGAGAAAGCAAGAAATCACCCCCCAGGGTGAGTTTTAAGCCACCCGGTCCGGGACACGAACCGCTGTAGACTACGTGGGAGTCCAGCGACATAGCCATTACGGTAACTGCTGGTTCCCAAGATTTCTTTCTGATTCTACTTTTTTTTTTGGTCTGAAAGATATATCCTCTAGGAATGGACAGTCAAATTATTGTGCTTTAATGTCACTTAAATTTTCTCTGTAAAGTTAATTTAGAAATTCAATACTTGGATTTATTTTATTTTTGCTTTTTAATTTTAGAAGATGTTTTAAACTTTTAGTTGAATTAAACTTTATCATTACTTAAAATATCCACATTATTTAAAAAAATAATTAAAAATTGATTTAATTCCATTTGTTATTGTTTTTTAATTTGACCAGGGAGAGACAGAGAGAGAAAAAGGGAAAGTAAGAAAGCAAGCTGCCAGGTTCAAGACTTGAACTGTTGTTGGCCATGTGGAAATCCAGTGCCCTTAACCACTAGGCCATCTGCCAGTCCCCAAATACCCACATTATTCTAAAAGCAAATTTGTAAAACAAGGTAAATTCAGAGAGCCTGGTTTCTTTTTTTTCTTTTCTTTTCTTTTTTTAAGAGGTTTTTGGTATAGGGCACATGTGCTTGCCAGAAAGACAGAGACAGAGAGACAGAAAGCAAGAAATCACTCCCCAGGGGGGATGGCCACGCCGCAATCCTTTCTCCTCCATTCTCCTCTCGGGATCTTGGGCATGCACACACATGCGTCTGGCGTGAGTTTAAGCCACTAGGTCTAGGATTTGAACCGTGGTCGACTACGTGGGAGCCCAGTGACATAGCTATTACACCAATTGCTGGTCTCAGAGAGCCTGGTTTCTATCCATTTCACCTACCTTGTTTCTTTGTTCATTTTGTGTTTAATCATTTTAAATTAGCTTTCGATTTATTGTTCTTTTTATTTTTGTATTCTCCTTCTGTCTTGGACAAAAGGAAACATACTATACACATTTTTCTGCACCTGTTTTCTCCTTTTACTACATTCTAGACTTCGTTCCATAACAGTATGTAAAGATATGTTTCATTCCTTCTTACAGTTACATAATATGCTGCTGTGTGAATGTAATAGAGTTTATTACCAAAGTCTCCTATTAATAGACATTTTGTGTTTTGGGGTCTTTTTTTCCCCCTTATCTTTCACCAGGGAATCTATGGATTCCTAGAAGTGGAATTGCTGTTTCAAAAATAAAAGCATGTGGGCCAGCAAGTGGCATCATAATTAAGGCTCTGGACTCCCATGTGGTCAACTATGGTTCAAGTCCTAGACCCCAATGGCTTGAAGCTCACATTGGCAATATGTGCATGCATGCCCAACATCTTGAGAATGGAGGAGAAGGGATTGCAGCATGGCCATCTACCCTGGGGGATGACTTCTCGCTTTATGTTTCTCTCTCTCTGCCTCTCCAGTGAGCACATGTACCCTATAGTAAAAATCTCTCAAAAAATAAATAAAGTATATATTTTTTCTAGATGTTGCTAAATCCCACTGCATACTGGTTTTTATCAATTTGTATTATTTGCGCAGATTTTAAAGAATATCTGATAAAACTTCAGGATAAATAGTTTTTTTTCGATGACTTTTGAGAAGCCAATACTGCAATGTCTTTCTTTTTTTCTAACTTTTAAATAAGTTTCCTTTAAGCAAGGACAGCCCACAGAAATCAAGCTTTTAGTCACTTTGTTTTCCAAATAGCAAAGCTCTCTGCTTTTCTAAGCTGTTGATTCAAAGTACCTTTCAATACACTTTTGTACTTTCTATTTTCTATGAGCAAAGGCATATGCTAACTGCTAGTCAGATACACAAATGAATCAAACATAATTGCTGCCCTTCACGAATTCATGTTCTGGGTGGGGAGGCAAACATACAGCACCTAGTACAAGACAAGTGACCCACTGATACTTTGTAGATGAGAGAGGCACCTTCTGACTGGTGACTTCTGGGAAGGTCCTGGATACAATGGGATTTGGACTGGCCCTTAGGAAAGATGTAAAAGAGAGTGTAGAGTGTTCAGGGAGCTTCATTATCCATGTCACTTCTCTGAGAGTTAATGAGAGTCCTCCAATATTTCATAAGACATATATGTCTTCAAACTGCCTACGTCAGTGTTCCCCAACCTTCCTGGCACCAGGGACTGGCCTCATGGAAGACAATCCCTCAGTGGATAGGGGAAGGGGGTTGGCCCTGGGATGGCCCAAGTGTACCACATCCACAAGTACACCCAATTTCCACCACTACCACAGTGTAATATACAATCAAACAATCACACAATTGGGTTCATGTTCCCATGAGAATCTAATATTGTCATTGATCCGACAGGAGGCCGAGCCCAGGTGGCAGTGAATGATGGGGAATGACTGCAAACCCAGATGAAACCTGGCCTGCTGCCTAACCTCTGCTGCAGGGCCTGCCAGACCAGCACCAGTCTGTGGCCTGGTCCCCTACAGCTAGTTTGTGCTAAGCTACGAATCTGTAATGGTCAGAAAAATTTTGATTCTGTTCTGAGTGACTGCTTTATACTGTTGAAACCCTTTGCACTTTAGTATGATGAGAGTTTTAAAGGTACACAGCCCTAAGATTGACCCTCAGCCATAGTTTCGAGTTATTTGCCTCACACTCATCACCTGACAATAGTGTTCTAGCCTCTAAGAGATCCAGAGAAGGCTGTGGATTTCTCTCTCTCTCTTGGACACACAGAGAGAGAGACAGAAAGGAGGAGAGGTCAAGTGTATGATGTGGTAGGAATGGCTCAGACTCTGGCTTTAATTGGAATTCCCTTTCTTTCTTTTTCTGAGGTGGCAGCTCCTTTCTTAAAACTGGAAGAATTAAGTGCGTTTTTGTTTTTTAAATTTTGTTTGAGAAGTTAAAATATAAATCATGCAGAATAGCTCATGGGATTTTAAAACAGAAATTAACGTCTCAAGAATTCTCATTTATAGGGCTGGCAGGTGGCTGGTGGTTAGAGGTGTTGGACTCCCACATGGCTGACCATGGTTTCAGTCCCAGACCTGGTGGCTTGCTTTCTCACTTTCCTCTCTCTCTCACATGTGCTCTCTTGCTCTCTCACTCTGTCCCTCTCTGGTCTAAATAAATAAATAAATAAATCTAAATAAAATAATTTTTAAAATTTTTAAAATGATCATTTATAGATGAAGAAACTGAAGCCTAAAGAGCTTATTACATTCACCTGGGTTCTCATCTATATTGGTAGTAGGTGTAGAATTCAGAGAAAAGCCCAGGTCTTCCTCCCTCCTTTACCTGAGTAGTTTGGTGTCCATTCTATTAGGAGAGTTAAAGTCATTTCTTACAGGGACTTAGTGGTGAACACACAAATCAACATTCAGAAGCCTGCTCCGACTTTCTTTTTATGAGTTTTAAATACAGCATAATGGCCACTGAAAATAAATCTTCAGATCCCAAACTTGACAACGTCCTTCAGCTTCATTCTCTCTCTTGGGTTATAAGAACATATTTCCATTTTATTGCAAATTGAACAGAAGCAGCTTTACTACACAGCCAGCAGTTTAACTAGAGCACTTTAAGTTTCAAATCTCTCCAGATTAATCTTGAATGAGCTAGGTTTGTGGTATATAACTGTTTTCAATGGTGTATTCCAACCATCTTCCAAATATTTATCAGAATATAACTTATTAGGTCAAGATTCTTTTACGTGCTCAATTTCAGATTCTTGAGCTGGGCATGGACAGTTTCTTGGTGGTCTCCAGCTGTAAACTTATGCACTCTGTATTATTTTCCTTTTTAGGATCAAATCTTTATGGAAAATGTAGGTGCTGTGAAGCAACTCTGCAAACTAACCAACAATCTTGAAGAAAGAATAGAAGAGTTAGAGATATGGAACAGAAAGCTTGCCCGGCTAAAGCGGCTTAGTAGCTGGAAGTCCTCAGTCAGTGAAGCAAGTTCAATCAGGTACATCCAGGGTCGCCATAGAAATTTGGGGTACAGAGAGAATGGGCTCTTTGCATAATACAATCAATATAAATGGCCTTTTTAAAAATCATGTAGTAACTATTACTTTCTTCCTTTCATTTAAATTTATTGATTTATAGAGAGAGAGAAAGAGAGAGAGAGAAGTACTCTTAACAGCACCTCATGCCCCCAGTAATTCTCCTCCCAGGCTTTAGACCAGCCAGAATCAAGGGCACATGTGCACATACCAAAGTGTACAGGGTGCCTTTCAGAAAACCAAATCCTGGTTTCCAGCATTACACAGCATGGTGCTCCCAAGGAGCCACTGTGGCTGGGCCAGTGACCATTCCTTTCTGATAATGAATTCCCTATTCTTTAGAATATTTTGGAACACAATTGCATTATGATATAACTTTCTTATTGTTTCTGTTGCTGCTTTCACAACAAAACATAAGGTTATTTGTTTAATAACAGTTATAAGAAGTGCTAAATTCCAAAAGGGTAGTTCTTCTTTAAGGAGGAAAGGGGGTCATTTCTAAATTTAGAAAGTCATGTTTGGTACTGGGGGAGGGGAATTTGTACTTATTATTTTTTATTACTTAAGGAGATAAATGCACATTTCCTGAGGTTTAGCTTTGACAAAAGAGAAATATAATGTTTAATGCTTTCGTCTATGCTTACTAAATTTCTTTTCCCCAAAAGGGCCTTTCAATTGTCTTGCTTTTTCCTTTTTCGTATTTTTACTGTATTACAAAAAAAAGAAAGTCATAGGGCTATGTTAGTGACAGCCTGAGGCTTTGTCATCTGATGCCTGGAGAGGTATTTGACTATTAATCATTTTTCTCTCTTTTTAAAGCAAATTTAGCAGAGCTGTTAGTTCATCTTCTCCAAGAAGGGCCATTCACAAAAAATCCAACAAGGTAAATAGACAAATTACAATGAAAACATATTTTTTGAAAATAAGAAAGTCTTTAGAAAAATTGATCGAGAATTTTTTCCTCATTTATTTGTTGATAGATTCCCTAATTTGCATGCTTATGCACTTCAGGTGTTTAACTGCTAACCCTTTGATAGATTGTAACTTTTTTTTTTTAAAGAAAAGACCATAGGTTTGGAGAAATGACTGTAGAACATATCCATATCAGAGATATTATCCTGCTGGGTTTTGTTTACACTGTCCCCAGTAGATGAAATTAATCATCATCCACATGCATATGGCCCTGGGCTTCAAGATCTGTGTATATGCCTCCACTTCACCTAGTCCCTTATCTTTGACTTCAGGAGATCCCAAAGGGACATCAGTATCCTCAACTTCCTCTTTTCCCTTTGATATTTAATACTAAATATGCAAATGGAATAGGTATTTACTTGCAAAGATTAAATCATGATGGTTTCATTAATGAATGTAGACAAATTTCATCAAGTAGGATAATACTGACAATAAAAATGGAGGTTAGTCATTTATTAACTTGAAAGACATCCTCTTCATCACAGAGAAGTCAGTGTGGGAGAACCTGTAATATTTTCTTTCTAGCAGCAGTTAGGAGGTACGTGTAAAATTCAAGTTTTTCCCTCTGATCCACCAGTAGTCCAAAAGTGCCCTCTCTAGGGGAAGAGATTCATGAACTTAACTGATACTCTGGTTAAGACTAACCTGACATTTGGGCCACTGCCTCAGTTTACTTTCTACTCTTCATTCACTGTTCTAAAAGGATTCAGAGAGAGTTCTAAGTTCTTTAAGTATTATGCCACTGACAAGTTTCCTGGCTTATCAATAAATATAAAGACACAGATAAGTAGATATGTAGAAGTGTTCCTGGGCAAGTTACTTAATCACACTGGGAAATAGAGATAATTATAGTTTCTACCTTACAAAGACTATTGACAGGAGTAGAGAAGCTAAAACTTTTAGCACAGTACCCAGGGCATAGAGGGTTGTGCAGTGAGCACAAAGCACAGGAAATATTGTGAAGAAAAGGTATCTTTTGAACTAAGCAGCTTGCAGTAGAACGGCAGCCCTAATAGGTGCAATTTGTTCTGCAACCTCTGTAGCTCCCATTTGCACCAAAATATTCTCTGTATTTTTCAATTATCTCAGATTATTAACTACAATATATAGTCCATGAGAACAGGCCTGTGTTTGCCTTCCTCACACTGTGTCCCTAGGAACTACCACATAGTAGGAACTCAAGAAATATGGAAATGGTCTCATTGTAAACCAAACAATATGATTGAAAGTATATACAAAAAAATAAAATAAATAAAAAAAGGAAAATAAAAAAAATAAAAAAACTGTATACATAGATCATTTTGGAAATCTGCTCACAATAAACTAGAAGTTTTTAAGAAAAAAAAAAGAAATATTTATCAAATGAATGCACGGGAGAGCCCAGTCTGAAAATATTCCTAAAAGGTTCATTATTTAGCTTAAAAGTGAGGTCATCCTGTGTCTTGGGTGTGTGGATGGGGTGAGAGTTGCGGGTGTGGAAATAGGGTTGGGGAATTACATAGGCATTGGAGAACATCCATTCAACATAGAGACTTCCTGCAGTCACTGTAGAAGCCCTGTGGGAGGCAAAGATCACACAGATGTGGTCTCGTCTAAGGGATTATGAGGTAGCCAGGGAAGATTGGAAGAAAACACAAGGAAGAGTTGTACCTGGGTGTGATAAGTGGTGTAGAGACTCAGAATACTGCAGGAGCATTATGAGAGCTGAACCTTGAAGGAGGAGTAAGCATTGGCTCAACAGCAGTGGAGTTGCAGTAGAGGTTTCAGATGGAATGGCATAAGCAAAGCTCTGGGAGCTGGAACTGGCTTCTTTGAAACCTACGGAGGGAATTGATTAGGGAGGATGATGAAAAATAAGCCCAAAATATAGGTAAGGCTTAGATTTTCTGGACTACCAAGCTAAGGAGTTGATTTGATAAGTCATGAATACTTTTGAATAACAATAAGATCTAATTTGTAAGTCTGTCTTTCTTTCTCTCTCTCTTTCTTTCTTTTCCCTCCCTTCCTTCCTTCCTCTCCCTTCCTCCCTCTCCTCCCCCCTTCCTTTCTCTCTCTCTCTCTCTCTCTCTCTCTCTCTCTCTCTCTCTCTCTCTCTTTCTTTCTTTCTTTCTTTCTTTCTTTCTTTCTTTCTTTCTTTTTTCCCCTTCCAGTCAGAAAAAAAGAAGCAGCACAGCATTGTGGCTAAAAGTATAGATTCTGGAGCCTTTTTTTTTCTTTTCGTTTAAATCCTGCCTCTATGATTTATTTGCTAACTGATCTTAGATGAGTAGTTAGCTTTCCTGCACCTTTTTTCCCTTCCTCTATACTAGGAATGATGAAAGTGCCAGCCTCCTAGGTTTTTGAATATGATTGTACGGATTAGATTAGCATATGCAAAGTACTCAGAAGGGTGCATAACACGTAAGTGCTGGAAAACCATTCACTATTATCAATGCTTTCACCCCCACTGTTTTACTGCTTCTCATACTTATGTATGTATCAGAATCCAGAGCTTGCTTAGGTACAAACAGTGGGAGTGTTTTCCTCCCCCTATGCTGTTTTAGTAAGAGGTCTTGGTTCTTTTTGTGAGCTTGACTTTCTCTTCCATGCCACCATTCCTTCAGTGCCCTAGGTGTCCCCTATTCCTCAGGACTTCCTTTGGTCACCAGGTCATTGCAAAAATGTGTAAGGGTGGAGAATGGTACTCTCTAGTTGACTGGGTATGTAAGAAGCCTGGCTGAACCCTGCCTTGACTTCCACACAGCTCCCAGTGCTGGCCACGATGGTGCTCATTCTGGAAGAAGATTGAAGTTTCCTGATCCAGTTTTTTTTTTTTTTTTTCCTTTTCTTTTTTTCTTTTCTTTTTTTTGGAGAGGTTTTCACTATAGGGCGCGTGTGCTTGCCAGAAAGACAGAGAGAGACAGAGAGACAGAAAGCTAGAAATCACCCCCCAGGGGGGATAGCCACACCGCAATCCCTTCTCCTCCAATCTCCTCTCAGGATCTTGGGCACGCACACACACACGCCCGGCGTGAGTTTAAGCCACCAGGTTCAGGACTTGAACCATGGTTGACTACATGGGAGTTCAGTGACATAGCCATTACGCTAACTGCTGGTCCCCTGATCCAGTTCTCCTTCAATCCATTTAGGGTTCATCCTCTTTCCTTTTCTTTTTCTATCTCCAAGTGGTAGTTGGGTGATTCCTGTTATATGTAGGGATCAGAGTGAGGTGGGAATGTCCTTAGAGTTCAAGTAAGAATTTACTGAATATTTGGAGGAGGAGGGAAAGAATAAACAGAGATAAATACTTTATATTATCCCTCCTCTGACAGAGTCATAGCCCCTACCCAGCCCCACCCCAGATGAAACCTATTGAATCAGAATTCTTAAGTTTTTAAACTCCATAGTAATTCTATGCACACCTGAATATGAGAACCATTACACTGTTAATTAGATCTACTCTAAAAAGTAGACAGCATTATTCTATTATTTCTATTCTATTGATAAGGAAAATGAGGATCAATAACATTTAGATAACTTGTTCAAGCCTCAATTCAAAATCTGACTCTGATCTTAGTCCTTTTCTCTATACTAGGTAAAAGGATTTTGAGCAAAAGCAGTAAAATAATCCGGCATCTGCAGAATGTAGATTGGAGAGGGAAGTGCTTATCCTGAAACTAATGCTATTTAATTCCAATAAATTCAACAAATGTCATGAGTTCCTTCTTTATACAGCACTCTATTAGCACATCATCAGAGCAGTTTCAGAGGGATGTGGGAAGGGTATAAACCATTCACTTCTTGGTATTAGTGTGACTTCCAGCTGTACTATGGACAGCTATCACAATAGACATAAGGGTGTATGTACTTGTTACAAATGACATGGTTAATTTTTTCCTCCCCCACAATATTACACTAGGAAAGATTTTCTGTAGTCAGATAACCAGTCAAAGACCAATTTTATGCTATTTCTTTCTTTTTATTTATTTATTTATTTTTTACTAGTTTGCTATAGGGCATGTGTGCTCATCATTGAAACAGATAGAAAGTGAGAAACACCCTCCAGGGGGATGATCACATCACAATCCCTCAATCCATTCTCCTACATTCTCCTCTTGGGATTTTGGGTGGGCATGCACATAAATATACTTGGTTTGTTTTTCAGACTGCTGGGTTCAGGATTTAGGTTGTATGTTGGGCCATTTGGGATCCAGCCACTTTGACCACCACTGGCTGGTCGTAAGCTATTTTTCTTAAACAACCTTCAACCACCAACCTTCTAACCCTTCAAATGAAAAGCTTGATTTTACCCTTTATCCCCAGAAGAAAACAAACATAATACTCCATATTGCACTAGTAGGAAACTCATATTTAAGGGGCACCTTATTTAACTGGGCAGAAAACATCTATCTCTTCAACCAGTTTCCTGCTAATTCCACAGCTGTCTATCCTATAGTTCTTGGCCCATTCCCCACATGCAAACTTTTATACTAATACCGTGTATGTATCAGTAATAAAGATATGTTTCATTTAATTCCCAGAGACTGTTATTTACTAATTTTTGTATCTCCTACAATGTTGCACACGATAGTGTTTAATAAAAACTTGTTAAGTTATAGGAATAATTAGGACACAGGCCCAGAGCTATCTTATAATACATAAGTGGAAGACCTTTATATGTATAAATACAATATATATATATTATATCCTTATAATACATAAATAGATATGAATGTGTGTGATTTAAGGAGTGCTTAGTAGAATTTCATGCCACAGATTTCTTCCTTATGGTTTGTCATGATGCCCGAAATTCTTCTATTGGAATTTATTTCTTCATGTATTGAAGACCTTTTGATTTCCGAGCCTAGCCTATTAAAAGAGATGAATGTCTGGGTTCTGACAGTATCTTGTCTTATCTGCTCTCATAAAACTGCAGGAATAAGTGCCAAGTGAATGGCACAAACAGTTGCCCTGTGGGATGTCAGGGAAACAGGAGACTGATGTAGCCTGGAGTATCAACGAAGGGGAAACTTGAGGTAGGCTTTGAAAGAAAGTTGTTTTCAGAAAGGTGGAGAGGAGGGAGATGTAAATTGAGACAGGAACCAGGAATCATCTCAAGGGAGCAGCAAAGATCCCTGCTGGGAGCAGTTCTTCCTTCTTGCATTTAGCATTGCAGATTTATCACTTCTCATTACTGAACCTTTTTATAGGTTTATTTTTCAGGAAAAAAGCAATCGTGTCCTAACTGGGTTTTCCAGACCTTGGTTATAGCTCTAATTGCTGTGATGGCATTTTGGTAAGAAAAAACGTCAATGTTATTTGTGTCAAGCTCTTTTATTCTTCCCATCTTTCTTTTCCCACATATGATACTGGGGATCTGACCCTCTATTTACTTTGAAGACAAAAAGGTCCTTTAAAGCAGGCATTGCCCTTTGATAGCTAAAGATAAGGGAGATAGTTTTAAACTCATTTTTTGAAGGAAAAAAGCACATGCTTTTTGCACTTATATGTAAGATGGATTAATTTTTTCAATCAACTGCTGTGTTTCAGCAGCAAACTTTGCTCTGCGTGCGTGCGTGTGTGTGTGTGTGTGTGTGTGTGTGTGTTTCTTAGCTTCGCAAATAACTTTCTCAAATTCTTTGTTTTCCTTCCTGTCTCCAAGGGGGAAAGGAGTGAATAGGCAATTAGGTAAAATCCACTCTCCTCTGGTTACTCATATTTATTAGGATTCTTCAGTGACGACTTTATACCAAAGGGATACCAAATGTACACTGTGATGAAATTGTAGCCAAATCTGCTAAGCAATTAGTCAAACCAATGCAGTAAGGACACCTGTGTCTTTGGGTGACTTTTGAATACCATCCCTCCTCCTGGAGGTGAGAGTGATCTCTTGCTAGAAAGCAGGGCCCTTTCTCAAGCCTCTGGCCTTCAGGCTCCTGCTGTGCTTTGATGCACTCCTTTGTCCTTTGAACCCTGGTCATCCTGCTTGTGTTCTCCAGGCCTTCGAATCCCCCTTTTTTGTTTTCAGTCTGACTATGCACACAGTGAAAGGGGTGTCTATTCCTCAAAAATGCTTTCTTACTGTGGGAGAGGACAGGCTTCTGTCTTCAAGGAGACAATCGCTTTGCAGAGCAAATAAGCCATGGTCCCAAAGAGCTTCCGCTTTCTTGGTCTAACAGTGCAGGTCTCTCTATCTTCTTCCTCTTTGCCATTTTCACTCTTGACTTGTGGGAAGATACCCGAGTATTTGACACCATTGCATGCAATTCCCATTAGAAGCCTCTGCACTTTTCTTACTCTCCTACATGTGCTTGTCTTCTCTTACGAAGAGTCCCATCTGAGGAGAGTGTGAGCATTTACCTTTAGCAGACATTCTGAGTATTCTTGGGAGAGGTAGATTCTCAGTCCAACAGAAAGGTTATAGGAAATCTAATTCTGTGGCAGACAGACTGCTTTTTAAACACACTTGGTAGATCTTAAGAATTAAGAAAGCCAATAGTGTTGACTATAAAGGGGAAATGAGAGGGGTCTTTGAGAAATTCACGGAAAATGTATATCATGAAAAAAACAATGCATGGATTTAAACATTTTTGGGGCACCAAAATAAACTCATACTTGAATTCCATGTTTTTACAAACTTTTTGACGTCCCTCTTATTAGGCTTATTATCTTGTTTCTAGCCTGTGGTATACCTGAGAAGGTTCTAAAGTAGGATTTTTAAAATAGAAAGCAGTGGTTCACTTCATTTTATGATTCAAGAAGTTCTCTAGGTTATACATTGAGGCAAAGCTACAGACAGATCAGAAAGTGTTTAAGGATTAGAAATGGGGACCTGGAGTGTGGGAGACATGAGAAAACAAACTAAGGGAGGCTGGACCATGGCAAGCAGTTGTTGGGGAAAACTACAAATTCTGCCTGCCAGGAGCTCTGGGCTCAGCATCACTTTCTCCAGTTAGTAAGAGCTGTGCCTGCTGGGCTTTTATTACCTGATGCTGAAAGCACTTTGGGAATCCCTTCTTTATTAGTGGAATTCAAAGGTGTGGTACTGGGGCTAGCGGGTGGCATGGTGGTTAAGGGTGTTGGACTCCCACATGGCCAACAGTGGTTCGAGTTTTGGATCTGGCAGCTTTCTCACTTTCCCTCTTTCTCTCTCTCTGGTCAAATTAAAATAAATAAATAAATTTAAATAAAATAATTCTAACAGCAAAAAAAAAAAAAAAAAGCTGTGGTACATTTCTTCATGTATACGTAAGCCCACCACCTTTGATGGAGAATAAAATAATCTGGAGCCAAGTTCTGATAACCAAGTGTGAAGTCAAGCTGGTAAGAAGTCAAGTTAGGTAATCCTGTTTTTTTGGTTTTGTTTTGTTTGTAACTTGGCAGACTATGTTGTATGGCTCTTGAGAGAGTTCTAAAGACATCCCGAGAGAGGAGAACATAGTGTTAGGATGTGTGATCATTGTTAGGAATAGTGTCCCAAGGCTTGGAACCTTTAAGGAAAGCTTCCATTTCATACGTTCTGACAATCAGAATGGTAAGATATTCTCATTATTTTGAAGCCAAATAGTATGGGAATGGATGCTTTCTGCATTTCTTTTCCTTCCTCTGCCCAATTTGGCTTCTCATGCTCTCAGAAGACAGGCAGCTGGAAGATGTCAGAGAAGTGGCCAGAGGTTTGGAATCCACAGCTGACTAACCCTGTGCTGCCTTTGGTCTCCTGGCATGATGGTGCAGCAGACCTCCAGCAGTGGGATATGAACTCTGCTCTCACTCTTTCCTGCAAAGGGCCTTCAGCTATTCACATGCTTCCTCTTGTAATCTTCCACTAGTGACAGATGCTTCTGTGACAGCTTGCCAGGGCCAGGGGGTGCTCTATGGAAAAATTCAACAGTGAGGAATACCCCAAGAGTTTCTGAGCTCCTGGAAGCTGAGGGCTTTCTCTCACCAGGAGAGAAAAGCCTAACTGTGCTGGTTTCTGTGCTGTTTCTATCAGCTGTGGCTGCCCCATCCCCTCTCCTCCCTTCTGTGTAGCCTGTGAGAGTACATCTTTGGCCAGCTGGATGAGTGAGCTATATCTGGAAACAAATCTGCCACCTAATTCTTTCTTTCTTTTGTTTAAACAGTGCCTTGACTATAGTCTCCCTTTACATACTTAGCTTAAAAGATCAAGACCGAAGTGCCCCAAATCTCCCTTTAAGGTGAGAGTTCCAATCTTGTTTGCCTTTGGGGAGAAGTCTTTAAGTCCTCTCTCACTAATCATTTTGTCCTCCGCTCCTCCAGCAATATCACCAGCTCTCAGGAGCCAGCTCTTCCACCCACAGCCTCCCCCTCAGGTAAGGGCTGCACATTCCTCACCCTCAAACCCAGTCTGTTTATGTGAACTGTCAACAGAAGAAACCAGCCTTTCAGGTTAACCTTGTTGCTTTCCTCCCCTCTGCCCAATGTTTTGCAGCACCTACAACATCCCTGGCAACCACACAGACTTCCTTACAAGTACCTGAAATCACTTTCTGTGAGATCCTGCCATGTCAGGAGATCTATTGCTGCCCCATCTGGGGAATGAGAAAAGTCTTTTCAAATCCTTTACAAAGACAATCTGAGCAAGAGAAGGAAATCCATCAGACGTATGGGGCAGGTAAATGACATCCAAAGAGAAATGACTAGAGCTTCGAACCTGAGGATTTTTCCTTGTCAATATTTCCTTGGATAGTCTGCTAATGGTCCCAAATAAGGGTTCCAAGTCTTCTATTTGGGGTGTAAAATCTTTAGAAACACAAACATACAACTGGCATTATCTATAGATTGAGTTCCCTGCCCAGGGATGAAAATTTGGTTGATTCAAGTCCTTATAATTTTCACCAAGTGAAAGGGTTTCATTTGTCCATTGTCAACGATGATAGTAATAGTAGCACAAGTGAAGTAATTATATGCATGTGGATTGATCTTTGTGTGTGTGTGCGTGTGTGGCTCATTTAGAACTTAAAAAATTATGTAGTACCTGGGCTCTCTGCCCAAACCAACTAGAGCAAAATATAAGAGACTTTGGAAACTCCAATTTAGAGCTTAGAATAAGGTTTAAGTCAGTGAAAAGCACAGGATTCACATTCTACTTCCAAAATATTTTCTTTTTCTTACTAATAGGGACACACACATTTGCACACTTTTTTCAAGTAATGGATTTTCATTTTAAAAAATTAGAAAAATGTAATTAAGTGCTACAAGTGTAATTATCTCTATGAAATCAAACACTATTCTTCCAAATGCACAGTTATTATTGTTTATTTAGAGATCTCCTATCCTCATGTATTAACAAGTACTAAAATAATATTAATGACAATGCTAATAATAACTATACTTATTAGTATTGGCTTATCTATCAGTATGCTGTTGAAACAACAGTCCCCTGGTAACAGTGGTTTCATGTGGCAGAAGTTTATTTCTGGCTCACTCTATCAAATGTGGATCAAGAGAGAGCTTTGGTCATTGTGTCATTTGGTATCCAGCTGATAGAGTCCATTTCAATACGTATTTCCACAATCTCTGTATCAGTGGTGACAGGACAGTGTAAATAGTACACAGGCTTTTAAATCTTCCACCTAGGTATAACATGTCACTTCAATTTACACTTTATTGGCCAAAGCAGGACACATTGGTCATGTCTAATTTAAGAAAAGATGGAGAAAAAAAGATCTACCATGTGTCTAGGGAAAAATGAACCAAAATATTGGGTCATCAGGAAAGTCTTAATGTATTTTTGCATAGAAAAACATGGAAGAAGACATCATAACTTTTCTGATGACCCAACATTTGAATGCAGTCCCAATGACTACTGGAATGCCACATAGCATATGGTCAACGGTTGAAGTTTTGAGGCAACAATGTAATTTTCTTTCCCTTTTGATATTCTTCCATATCTCAGTCTTAGATAAAGAACTTTTGCAAATCATCATCATCCATATAATTATGTAATGAGATATTAATCTATGCAAGGCACTGTCATAAGTAGCTTATATGAATAAATCATTTATTTTTCACAAACTTACAGTATAGGCACTGCTATTATTCTCTTGTTTTTTTTCCCTGTGAAGAAACTAAGGCACAGAGAGTTCTCCCCATACCTATGAAAGGCAATGCTTACTCTATTTTTCTCATGAAAACAAATTTTGATTAAATTTGGGAACAGATGCATTACTACAGAGGGAGGATAAAGGTTCAGTTTAAATAAAGGAGTTCATTTTAGTCATCATATTCTCAATACTTTAAGCTATAGAAACATCTAATACTATCACAAAAATCCCCAAAGTCTGCATCCCTTGTGTAAAACATGGAATCTTGTGACTGGTAAACCCTGTTCTCACCTTGGGATCCACTTTAGGGATATTTGGTATCCTTTTTTGAGAGCATCTTCAGAAAGGACCATCCCACCTAGGAGAGAGATGTACACTTAATGAATCCTGAACAGGAAGAGGCCATGGACTGGTAGACTCTTTAGGAGGCTTCTTGACTCCTGAACAAATTCACATCTGTAGCAAATCAGCTCTTCACATCAAGGGAATAGTGGGAATAATAGCTCTTACCAAGTTGGAGAAAGGTTTGTTGCTCTTTGCTCTGTGACAGAGTTTAGCTCACCTTATATTTTCACATCTATGGAAACTCCTAAAGAAAGAAATGCCTGCTAGAGGAAGAAGGTGTGTTCCAACGTGCCTTGCTGTGTCTACCTAGACAGAACTAACAGCTCCTCTGACTAAATAAGAAATTTAAGTTCGGCCTTACCAGACTCCCTGACACAGTAGGAAAGTTGTTCCCCCTTCCTTCCTTCAACTGGTTAAAAATGGAAAGGATTTAAATGTTTGATTCACTTCACCTACAGGAAACCTGAAAATTTGGGGGGATTTAGAACCACAGAAGGTTAGAAAGCAGATATACTAACAGTACCCTGAGTTTTTGACTCCAAGAATCTATTAGTAACATACTTCTACAATGATTTGATTGAGAGAATATAGAAAAGGACAATGTAATTATAAGTTCAGTAGAGTTATGTTCTGTTTTTTAATTGTTACAGTACACATGTGCTTGCTAGAGGAAGAGTGAAAAAGGGAGAGGAGCACTTCCAATGGGGCGCTATCATAATGCCATCCTTTTTCCTCCATCCTATGAGGATTTGGGGAATGTGTGCACATATGCCTGGTGTATTTTTTTTTTTTTTTTGGAGAGATTTTCGCTATAGGGCGCGTGCGCTCACCAGACAGACAGAGAGAGACATAGAGACAGAAAGCGAGAAATCACCCCCCAGGGAGGATGGTCACACCGCAATCTCTTCTCCTCCATTCTTCTCTCGGGATCTTGGGCACTCACGCACACGCGCCCGGCGTGAGTTTTAAGCCACCGGGTCCGGGATGCGAACTGCGGTCGACTACGTGGGAATCCAGCGACATAGCCATTACGCTAACTGCTGGTTCCCTGCCTGGTGTATTTTTCAAGCTACTTGGGGCTGGATCTCAAATTCTGGGCTACCATATGGGATCTAGCTCCCTATGCACAGGGCTTGACTATTGCACTGTGGGGCTGGCCCTTAATTGACCTTTTAACCGAATTATTTTTATTAATACAAAGTGACATTTGAAAATTAGTACCAATCTGTGGGAGAGGTGTTACTTTTCTAGTCTGCAGACAGTACCATAGACCACTTTATGTTATCACCTGGGGTTCCAAGATTGTAGGTCCAAAGGACCTCTGATTTAAACCAACTTATCAGTATTTTACAGTTTTTAAAATGGAGTCCTAGGACCAGGCTTAAGGTTCTGCAGTGAGTTACTAGCCAAGTTGGAGCTGGAATTAGGGTCCTCTGTTTCCCTTTCCTTCCCATTTATCATCCTAACTCCACTTATCTGGGCATGGGATGTGTATGTATCTGAGATCAACTCTAGATATACAGTCTATAGTTCTAGAAGTCCCCTACCATCCCTCCTCCCCCAATTTGCCTGTAGCCACTGAAAAGTCCCCAGTGGGGGGATATTAATGAGGGTCCAAGAAGAGGATCTTCTTTTCTGCTGCTGATCCATCCTTCCTCTCTCTCCAGGACACTGTATAACACTGGGGTTCCTAAATATAAAGGAGGAGAAAGCCAGACAACTGTTCATTTCACCTGAGGCACTAAAGACCAATTGAAAATGAAGGAATAAAAATGAAAAGGAAATTCAAGAGTAAAAAACCTAGAAACACTCAGTTGGATGCAGAGAAATATCTAACAGTTTACTAAGACCCAAAACACATTAATGAGCCTCCTCCCTGAGAGCAAGATGTCTAATAAAATAAGTGAAGGGAAATCAGTCTTTTTTATGATATGTCAAGCTCAAATCATTCTTCTTTTGGTCTTAAGCGGATTGTGTAAGTCTATGTAGAGTGTCTTTCAGAAAGGCTGTCTCCCCTCTTCCTGCCACTCCCTTTAGCCAAAAGTTTTAGTAACATTAACCAGGAAGTAAAGTGTTTTGGAATATTAAGTTTCTACTCTAAGGAAAGAACTAAATATGATGGATTTTAATTCATGGAACCAATAAAGATTTTAGTAGACAAGAGAGGTATCAAATGTAAAGAACCTGTGTGTGTGTGTGTGTGTGTGTGTGTGTGGCGGGGGTGGGAGGAGGTGAAAACATTTACGGAATTTTACAGATTGTAAAGGAGCTGGTAAGAACTTAAAAAAATATCACAAAGGAAAAAGGTATCTGGAATCCATACTCATTGCATTTTGGAGAACAAAACTCTGAGATGGGAAATGGCTTAAAAAAATAAAAAAGAGAGGTGTCCCCTTTGTTATAGGACTGATTCACTCTGCCCAACACGATGCTCAGAAAATTTCAGGTTCTGTCTCTTTTGCTAGAAGGAGAAGGAGCCCAGCTTCCCACATCCATTCTCGCCATCCTCTTCAGCCATACATATCCTAGGAAATTTCCCTTTGAGTCTCTAAGGAAAAGCATTTTTCTAGAGGTTAAGTAATTGGCCTTTTCTCTTGTTTTCCTTCCTCTTTCCTGGCTCACTTCCTCCCAGCCTTCCACAAATAGTTCTTAAAATGAGCCTAGGGTTCATTGGTGGGAGTTGTTCATCTCTTGGCATGAGTTTGGTTCAATCAGGAAAAGAGAAACGTGTCCAAGGTGTTGTACTGGATCTCAGCCATCAATGCAGATTTACAAGCAGTGCAATATACACCTACGATGACAAGATATGCTTTGGTTGGACACTACCTTAAATCTCTCTCATCAGAAGTTTCTAATTTAGTGCATTGGGAGGGCTCATCACCAAGTGTGAAATATATCTCCTACTTTACAAAGAGAACCACAGGGAATATATAGAGAGTTTATAGTAAAAATTGCATTTGAGCCTTTGGGTTTGGATGGACAGGAAGGTAAGAGAATGAAAGGGTGAGGAAACCTTGAATTCACAGAGAGAAGCTAGGGTGTACATGGGGTTACTTCTCATCCTGAGCAAGCCATCAAGACTAACAGACTTTTTCCTCTTCAGAAGATAAAAGCAAATCATTCCTGGCAAGAGACGCACTCACCAGCCCTGACTGGGGGAGTGACTGTAAGTTGACATTTCAATGACACTATTCTTCGTGGGGCCAGACAGAGGCAGAATAACAATCTGTAAAAACATTACTGGAATGAGGCACAGTGACAAAGGCTATACTCTACCTGACACATATACCCACGGGGTTATGCTTTATAATCCATGCCAGCCTAACCATCGAGGCATTAGAAATGGTCACTCAGTACTAGACAAGTTGTGGTTGACCTCCATGATTTTAGTAATTTAATTTAATTTCCCACTCTCCTCTTTTTTTTTTTTTTTTGAGAGAGGTTTTTGCTATAGGGCATGTGCGCTCTCCAGAAAGACAGAGAGAGACAGAGAAGACAGAAAGCGAGAAATCACTTCTCGGGGGGGATGTACGCTGCAATCCCTTCTTCTCCATTCTCCTCTGAGGATCCTGGGCACACACTCACACATGTCAGGTGTAAGTTTAAGCCACGGGGTCCGGGACTTGAATTGCAGTAGACTACAGGGGAGTCCAGTGACCTAGCCATTATGCCAACTGCTGGTCCTGCCACGCTCCTCTTCTATCCTGACTACATTTTTAGTTTGTTTTTTGTTTCCAAAACAGATTGCATTCATATTGCAACTTCCATTTTCAATAACTTTCTACTTAGTAGAACTTCTAGGTCCAGAGATTCTTCTGGGTGTTATGGGCGCTATTTGTTGGAGTGTGGATTTTTAAAAATGGTTTTCTTATAATTTACTATAACCAAAAAAGGTCTTCTTCCCTTTCTTCTCCTTTTCATTTTTCCATTCGAATGCAAATAGAGTCCATTTTTCTATGAAACTCTGATTTCACATTCTGCAATTTGGGGACTGTGCTGGAGTACAATATGCTTTTCCCCTGTAGAAGGGTTTACTTTCTTTTCTTGATTTCTTTTCAATTCAGGGATTGATACAACCATCAGTTCTATTCAGATTATGGAAATCCAGCAAATAATAGATCGTCGGTATTGCAGTAGAAGCCTCCAGTGCGGGTGGGTAAGCCTCTCTATTATGTGCTGGCTGTTTCTGGAATTTACCTAGGGCTCTGGGTTTTTGACCCTGGAATGAAAGCTAAAGCTACATGGTGAAATCACTGTGTGCTTACATTGCTTCTTAAGTGAAAACACATTTATAACATGGTGGACGAGGGGATCATAAAATGGTTGGTATTAGCAAATGTCAATAAACCACAGCCCCAGTGATTCCAGTCTCCTGGTTTAATGGGTCAGTTCACAGCAAAAAGCCTAGGGAGCAGCTCTGTGGCTGGCTCTGAGGGCACATATCACAGACAGAACTGCTAGTTAATTTTGTAGACAAGAAAGACATTGTTCCTGATGGCTCCAAGGTACAAGTGAGCTGACATTTCTATACTTTAATAAAAAGGGCTATCATTATTTTAATTACTGAAAAATACAGCTCATCTTAGCCTTTCCAGTTAGGAAGGAAAAAACAAATCCAGCTATTGCAAAAGCTGTCAGCAACATCCATCTCTATATCACCTATAGCTAGGTAATGTCACAGCTAGAAGCAGGAAGTGCACGTTGCTTCACCAAACATGATGTGCAAGTTGTAGGCATTAAGAATGAGGAGTATTTTTAATTTAATAATTTAATAACTATTTATTGGGTTCCTGCTAAGTTAAAGGCAAGGTCTATATTTTGAACTGGTGTCAAAAATCCTGTAAGTTTTCAGGCTTATTTCTTTTTTCAACCTGATACAATTTAGGCTGTACGTTGATGGTGTTGAGTTGTAAAAGTAACCTGTATGATGTTTATGATCTGTTATGATCTCTATATTCATTATCTCACTGAATTTTCATAAAATCCCTACAAGGGTAGTATTATTTATCCCCACATTGTAGCTAAGTTGCAGTGAGCTGGAAAACATTTGCCCAAGATCAGCTATCTAATAAATGTCAGAAACAGATGTTAATGGATGTGGTAGGATGACATAATGAAGACAAGTCAGACAATTCAGGTTCAAATCCTAGAACTTTGACAAGATGTTTATTCTCTCTGCATTTTGTTCTCATCTATAAGGTGGGGATATAATCAACTGAGCTGTGTTCTGTGAAGCATGAAGAAATTAGGAGGCACACATTAGGAAATGAATTTCATTGATCTAAGCTTCCCCAAGTTGAACAAAATGCTTCTGATCCCAACACAGATCTTTCTATTTTTAAAAATACATAATTAACAAATAACAATGTTTTCAATTTGGTATGCCAAGTAGCACTTATTTTTTGTTTTTGGCTTTACTGAGTTATAATTGACAAGTACAATTTGTTTGTATTCAAGATGTACAATGTGATGTTTTATTTTGATACGTTTACATGCTATAATGTTGGGTAAATTCAGTTTGCAAGCTAAGTGATGTATAGTGATTAAATGTGTAAAAAGAAAAAAAAAATACAAGATCAATTTCCTTATTTTTGCTTATTTTAAACTACCTATTTGGTGTTACCTAGAAAGAATATAAAATGACTGACTCTTGTTTCCTTTGATCTGATTTTAAGTTGTTTCTTCATCTACACAATCTGAGGGGTGACGAGATCATAAGGACAACCTGTATTCGATACAATATGCCTTTTACTAGATGTTTTTCATTTTAATAGAAATCAAAGGAAATTATTTTATTCAAATATGTCTCTTAAAGGGATAAATCTAGATAAAAGCACTTCTACCTTATGATCGTCTCCATTATTAAATACTATTAAGTCTAGGGACCAGCAGTTAGCATAATGGCTATGTTGCTGGACTCCCATGTAGTCAACCACGGTTCGAGTCCCAGACCTGGTGGCTTAAACTAACGCCAGGCGCGTGTGCGTGCATGCCCAAGATTCTGAGAGAATGGAGGAGAGGGGATTGCGGTGTGGCCATCCCCCCTGGGGGGTGATTTCTCACTTTCTGTCTCTCTGTCTCTCTCTGTCTGGTGAGCGCACGTGCCCTGTAGCAAAAACCTCTCCAAAAAAAAAAAATAATAATACTATTAAGTCTAGTAATTTTAGCAGATTTGGGTTCTAAAGTCTATCACATTTTCTGCTAATGTTTAAAGGGAGTGATTTACAGTATAAAAACTGGTGTTTGTTATTTCCAATCCTTCTTTCAAGGGATTGTTGGTTTGAGGTGTTTGCCACATTTGCCTTCTGAAGTTTTTATCTCCTTCACGGGGGCTGAACTAATTTCTGTATAATTTAATTCTGGACATTTGGTCAAGGATTTGACTTTCTGTGTGTTGTAAAAAACTATAAATCTTTACGGTATATTTTATGGTGAAACCTGAAAGAGATCATGTTATAACCTGACAGGTATGTCTCTGGAAAACTTAAGCATACCAAGTCAGATTCAGCTGTCTGTATTTATTATTTATTATATACTACTTCACAGTTTATACAGAATATGAGTAGCAAACAACTTCTGAAGCTTTTCCTGTACATTTTGATTTGTAGTTTTCTTTCCCCTACCACTAGGTCTGGAAATTACTATTACAACATTCCTGTTAATAAGTACACACCCACTAATGTCAAATTCTCTCTGGAAATCAAGTAAGTGCATGGCTATAAGAACAATTCCATTTTATCATTAGTTGAACAGAAAGTCTGAATTAACTTTATAATTTAATCTGTAAATCAGGAGGTAGAAAGCTACCAATCTATTTTAACTAATTATGGACATAGAGGAGGGCCAGCTGGGGAGGGATTTTCCAAATGAGAGCCAGGATCATCTAGGCTCCCTCCAGGAACAGAAAGGCTCTGAATAGTACACTCAGGCCTGTGAAGTGGGAGTGACTTTGATTTGATGCTCATGAGCTTCAGACTTCCCGACTGTCTCCCTTTGAATTGAGAGGAACAAGAGTAACGATGAGGCTTTTAGAAGGGTGCAGGACCTGCACATTTGGTGAGCACCTGGTAGCAATGCTAATGCAAACACTACTTGTTTCCCGAGAAAATAGAGAGGAAAAAAACAAGAAGAATGGAGTAAGGGTTTGGAATTGGGCAGAACAGGGTTCATATTTTGTGTCTGTCATTTGCTGATTCTGTGACCCTGGGGAGGCCGCTACCCCTCTAAGCTATCATTTCTTCATGTGTATGAATATTACATTATGCTATAACATGTGCTGCAATGGGAATTATTGTTAATAATGATGAAATTAATAAATATCATTTGCTGAGCACAAACTATATGCCAGATAATGTGCACTTAAATAAAATTTATGAGTATGAGTATGTGTGCACATGCACAAAAAAGAAAGCACCCTGCAATGTGGCCTGGTCATGCCATAGTCCTTTTCCCTCCCATCTCCATCCTGTCAGATGGACATGTGCATGAACACCTGGCATGAAATCAACAGGGCGGGGCTTTAAGTCCCAGCTGGCCACATGATATCCTGCTCCTTCGCAAAGCACCTAACTGCTATGCCATGGGGCCAACCCCACCCAGATATTATACTTTAATATTGAGTCATATAATCCTCATAAACAACTCTCCTAGGATTTTTTTTTTTTTTAGCTTGTTTTTCAGATGGGAAAAATTGGGCTTAGAGAAGTAAAGAACGTGTTCTGGAGGCCAGCATGTAGTGTAGTGGTTAAGAAACTGGCTCCCACAGGGCTGATTGAGGGTTGAGTCCAGGACCCAGCAGCTTGAAACTCATACCAGGTGTGTGTGCATATGTGCCCAAAATTCCAAGAGGAGACGAGGAGAATGGACTGCGGTGTGACCATCCTCCCTGGGGGGTGATTTTTTACTTTCTCTTTCTCTTTGTCTCTCCGTGTCTCCTTCCAGCAAGTGCACATGAACTGTAGCAAAACAGAAACAAACAAACAGAAAACAAAAACAAACCCTTAAAAAAAGTCTTTGAAACTCACAGTGATAGTAAGTGATAGAACTGGGCTTTGAATTCAGTCCATCCTTTTAATCACTCTCCTGCCTTCCCAGTGAGATGTAGGGGCATTGACCCTCCTGACATATAGTGGGCATTCAATAAATGGTGGCTTTTACTAGGGCTGCCTTTCCTCCCAAATCATAGAACTTTAACTTACTTTTTATCAGTTATTTTAAATAATTACTGTACTTTAAGAGTTTCAACCCACTTTACTCAAAAATTATGCAATAAGCTACTCACCATGGAGACAGATTTTATTTTATGTCTCTTGATTTTAGTCTCTTTTCTTTCCCCTTCACATATCCTCTCTTATCCCCTTCCTTCCCCCCCCCTTCTCTCTCTGTCCTCCTTCTTTCCCTCTACTACCCCATCTGTGCTGTTCCTCCGTAATTCACCAACTCCCCTCTGTCTCTGTATCACTCAGGCTTCATATTCCTTTTCTCATCAACTTTGCTTCTATAAGGAGCTAACGATTCTCTGCTTGTCTTGGAAAGTTTGTCTTAAGTAGCTAGTATTTCATGATTCAGAACCCACCATATTTCATGAAGGAGCAAAAGCTAAATATACTGTTACTGCAGCTAAATGTACTGTTTGTTAGGACCTCTTGAGTAACCTGTAACGCATTTCCTTATTCATTCCTTGCTTTCAGTGGAAGGACATAAAATTTATATAAAATTATATCCCCTGAAGTGGCATCAGATCGCCTTGAGTCACTTAATTAAGTATTTTAGTTTATGAGCCATTTTTCTCATATGGGGGGCTTTAAAATAACACAGGGGCTGGGCACTGATACAGAGGTAAAATGTGATGCTCTGTGAGGCTGACCCACATGGGAAGGTTTTGGGCTCAGTCCAGAGACCTTCCTAATTATTCTGGGCACATCCAGGGCTGGCTGAGGGTGCAACATGGGGTCAAGACCTGTTGGAGGAGCTGTCTCTCTGTCTCCTTTTGTCTCTTTCCATCTCATTCATGGAAGAAATAAATATATGTAAACAAACTTCACACATATTCAACTGAGATTGTAGGTTGTCTTCACTTGAGTAAAAAAGATTGGTTCCAAAGACAGATGGATCTCACCCTCTTGATGATGAATAATGGCTGACCTAAGAAAAGAACCAGGCTTTCTTGCAGATCTTCCATTCTGATAGCTTTAAAGCTGGAGGTTTTCTACTGGGGCTCACCCCCAAATTTTTACTCGTGTTTGTTTGCCTTGCTGTTTCAAATAATTCTACCCAGATCAGGAGTTTGCAGAGTCTAAAATCCTGGAAACTTCTGATACATGCAAATTCAGCTGCCAGTGAAAAAAAGAAGGGGTAGATCCAAAAATTAGAAATACTCTATGGAGGTAAGAAGTTCAGATGTGAGATGATTTAAATCATGAGATTAGGTTTTAGAAACTATCATATGCAATTTAAGTAGTCATGAAAGATGGGGTTTCTTTCTGCAATGATGAGATGTGAGTTAGTCTATTGGCATCAGTAGCCTTAGTAATAAAATGCCTATTGTGTAGTTTGAATAGATTTTCAAGTTACAGTCCCATTAGTTCCTCTTATCAAGGTAAACCCTAGCAGGAGCCAGTAACTTCTTTGTTATTTGCCCTTTCTTTCCTTTGTCTCTTGAAGCACAACAGAGCCATTGATAGTCTTCCAGTGCAAATTTACTCTTGGAAATATATGTTTCCATAGTAAAAGGGAAGTCAAAGGGACCCCAAACCATGGAGAATTCTCTCAGGAGATGACACAGGTAATGTTTTCTGGTTCCTCAGCCTTGTGTCCCTGTTCCAAAATAAATGTTTAGAATTGTGGCCTTTGCTCCTTACTAAGAGAGGTATTCACTGAACTGAATGCAAGGTTTTCCCTTGCTGGACAACCCTGGTCACGTTTTCCTTATGTCCTTAAGATGCTGCAGACTATTCTAGCAGACACCTATCAAAGGCTATTACAGACGCAGCCATAGTGGCTTTTTCTATACTGGCCTTTGCTCCTTACTAAGAGAGGTATTCACTGAACTGAATGCAAGGTTTTCCCTTGCTGGACAACCCTGGTCACGTTTTCCTTATGTCCTTAAGATGCTGCAGACTATTCTAGCAGACACCTATCAAAGGCTATTACAGACGCAGCCATAGTGGCTTGTACTAGACGCTGTTGTCCATGGGCCAAGGCCACACTAGGAGGCCTGGGTTTGAGTCCCAGTTCACCCTAACAAGCTGGATTCACTGCCATGCACCTGTAGTGCCAACTACTCAGGAGGCTGTAAGAAGGAGGATTGTGATGTAGTGACACCCATCTAAGCAAAACAAAACAAAAGCTGTTATCACAGGCATTTCTCCTACACTATGTCCAGGAAATGCTTTCTCAGCCTATATCCTGAGTGTACCTGAGTATATGAAATGGGTCTCTCTTTCACCATTATTTAGGGGTATCAGCACATTTGGAGCCTCCCTATAGCCCCATTCTCTGACAGTGCATACCATTTCCGTGTAGCTGCACCGGTAAGCTTGTCACTTTTTTTCTTTTCGGTGAACAAAGAAATAGATCAAAATAAAATAATCACTCTCACTATAGTTAATTTTTATATTAACCTTTCTCTCTTTTGTTCTTTTCTGACAGGATTTAGCTGACTGTTCAACAGATCCTTATTTTGCTGGGATTTTCTTTACAGATTACTTCTTTTACTTCTATCGACGTTGTGCCTAATTTATTCAGATTTGGTTTGGGACTTCACCAAAGAAAAATACTCAGACATATAGTTAATGAAAACAAGAGTCCTCTTGCAACGTCCTTCTTTCTTGTAAAACATTCACATTTATTGCTGATGGACTTTTTTTGAGACTTTGGTCACCATAGTTTTGAGACATTAATGAGGAGAATAAAGTGTTTGGAACCTGAAATAATGTAGTGCTTGATTTTGCCATGAGTATGAAGAAAACATTTCCTGGAGTAAACAGTACCGTTGGATTGGAAAATACTGCTTCTGGTACTAGGAAAGCTGGAAGGTCAAAATAAGCAGGTCTGGCTCTACTTTGTCTTAACATATTTCAAAGTTCTTGAGGAGAAACAAAAAGGTCGTATCAACTTGGATCCACTAAGCATAGACTTTTTTGAGGATGTGTGTGTGATAGTGTATATGGGGGTCATGAAAGGGTGAGTAGAGACTGACAATGAGCTCATATTTAAGCTAATTATGGCTACCTGTGCATATGTGCACATACATAATACATGTATGATATTCACACTCAATGGTAGAGTATGGAATAGAGCTTGCTAATTGAATGGATTAAGGGAAGTAGTTGCAAGTGTTTTGTAATGATTGATAGACAATAAACATTCTGTGAGGATGGGGTATGCCCTGTTATGATGGAAGCCCCTGTGCCCCAGAGCCTATTGAACTTACTCAAAGAAGCCAGTACTGAGCTTGCCATGCTGCCTCACCCCTTCTTCCCCGAGTCCACATGTAGGCTCTTGGCCACAGTTTCTCCCTCTCTCTCTGCCTCCTGACTGACCTGGGAGCTATCCCATGTAGCAACCTGTGACATGACATGATTCCCCCCTTTTTTTCTGCCTTAGGGCACATGTGCTGGCTGGAGAGACAGAGACATTGAGAGGGAAAGTGGGAAATCACCTCCGAAGGGAAGCGGCCATGCCTCAATCCTCTTTCCTCCATTCTCTCTCCTCTTGGGATCTTGGACACACACACACATGTGGCCAGTGTGAGTTTCAAGCCATTGAGTTCGAGACTCAGACAGTGGTTGGCGATGTGGAATTTTGGCGATGTAACTATGTCATCTGCTGGCCCTAGAGTCCTCCCTGTTTCAGCAACCGTGAATAACAAACTCTCTTTCTGATGGTGCTCATCTCCTGATCTGTTTCTATTAACAGGCATTATTTTAGAACAAGGAACCCAAGTCATTCACTGTAGATCCAGGTGGCAAGACTGTTGAATGGCTGCCTTCCTTAATCTTACTGTTGATCTGTGGTTCAGTTAGGATGAAACTATGTGATTTTTTTCACAATTGTAATTAGTAATAATAATACACCTTCCTCTTTCTTATTTTCAGATATTATTAAATATGTGCCATGTAGATGGAAATTAATTATGAAACAGCAACAATCAAGAAAAGAAAACTTTTTCTCTCAGTTGTTTTGTGTTGGTCCTGACGCTTAGTGGCTAAGGGAACCAGATGTCACATGGTTGACCATGGCTTGAATCCTGGCCATGGTAACATGAAAGCACACTAGGTGAATGTGTGTGCATGCCTCAAATCCTGACAGAATGGAGAAATGGAGGAGAAATGGAGGAGGAATGAAATTGTGGCATGACTACCCCCCACTAGGGGGTGCTTTCTTCCTCTCTCTTTCTCTCTGTTTCTCTTTCTCTCTGGCAAGTACATGCATTCTCTGATAATTAAAATAAAGAAAAGAAAAGACATGATCTTTCTTCTTTTTTTTTTGGAGAGATTTTCACTATAGGGCGCATGCGTTCGCCAGACAGACAGAGAGAGACATTAGAGACAGAAAGCAAGAAATCACCCCCCAGGGGGGATGGTCACGCCGCAATCCCTTCTGCTCCATTCTCCTCTCGGGATCTTGGGCACGCACGCACACGCGCCCGGCGTGAGTTTTAAGTCACCGGGTCCGGGACGCGAACCGCGGTCGACTATGTGGGAGTCCAGCGACATAGTCATTACGCTAACTGTTGATTCCCCATGATCTTTCTTCTTGTAAAAGGTATTTTGAAATAAATTTATTAATATGAAGATAACCCAGTAATTGGTACTTGAGATTCTGAAGCCAAACAATCCTAATCTTGAGTTCAAATCCCGACATTATTTGCACCACGTTATTTAACTTCAAGCCTCAATGTCCTCATATATAGAAGAGGAGAGTATCTACAACAGATAAGATTAAATAAGATAAAGTGTGTAAAGCACAGATGGAGTCTAAATAAATGTGAGCTATTATTGTTATATCTTCAGAGAACAGAATCATAAAGATTATAGTGGGATCATAAAGGAATTGAGAAGCTAAATACTCACACGCACATCTAGACATTTTCATCAACTATAAAAAACCAAACTTCAGATAGAAGATACGCATGTGTATTACATAATGTTAACTTTTCTTTCTATATTTGGAAAATTGTTTTCCTTTTACTAACATCATAGCCTTTGCTAAAAATGGAAAAAAGTAGTTAATTCTTTAGAGGAGTATTTCAGGAGTCCTCCAGTTTCTTAGATCCAAATTCCAACTTGGTTTTCCTGAATTACTAGTAGTATCAGCCTGCCCCAGTATAACTTAGGTCTAGATGCTATAGTGGAAGAGATTCTGCTGTTTGATTATGATATGTCAATTCTCCTCCTAGTAAAGGAATGTTTGTCAGCAATACAATTGCAAGAGTTACTTTCAGCACACAAATCTCATGTTCTTTTTTGTCATATATGTATGTTCAGGATAACATGGAGGCTTTAGATTGCTAGTTTAGTGTGGTAATGTTGTCTATATAGGGATTCTGTAAAATCAGTACTATTTTCTCATTAAGTTCCATTAAAGCACTGGAAGTATTTTTTGTCACCCAGAAAATCTACAGGAGATTGGATTGAAAGCCTGTAGAAAAGTTATTTAACATAGTGGATGAAATTGTGGCAACCCATGGCATGCTGGGATTGGCTAAGCTTATTAGGAGATATGCCTTGGCTAAAAGAGTCTCTTTACATCTGAGGCACTTTCCCAGTTGTGGGATGGACACTGTGGACCACACTGCCTTTTTTTTTTTTTTTTTAAAAGAGAGATTTTGCTATAGGGTGTGTGCACTTGCTAGAGAAACAGAGAGACAATGAGACAGAAAGCAAGAAGTCCCCCCCCCCAAGGGGGATGGTCATGCTGTGATCCCTTCTTCATTCTTCTCTTGGGATTTTGGGCATGCACACACATGCGCCTGGTGTGAGTTTTAAGCTGCTGGGCCTGAGAGTTGACCTGTGATCATCCATGTGTGAGCCCAACAATGTAACCACCACATCATCTGCTGGTCTTGGACCACACTGCTTTTCATATGTCAGGTAATTATCTGACTCTCCATCCAGTATCTCAAAACTTAAGTAATTAAGATGTCTACAAGTATCTTCTTTCTAAGAATTTACATTCCCGGTCTAATCATGAGAAAAACATCAGACAAATTCTGAGAGACATTCTACTAAGTACCTGATTAGTACTATTCTATATTCTTAAGGTCATCAGAAATAAGGAGTTTGAAGAGAGTTTAAGGGACCAGCAATTAGTGTAATGGCTATGTCGCTGGACTCCCATGTAGTCAACCACAGTTTGCATCCCAGACCTGGTGGCTTAAACTCACACCAGGCACATGTGCATGCTTGCCCAACATCCAGAGAGGAGAATGGAGGAGAAGGGATTGCGGCGTGGCCATCCCACCAGGGGGGTGATTTCTCACTTTCTGTCTCTCTGTCTCTCTCTGTCTGGTGAGCGCATGCGCCCTATAGCAAAAACCTCTCAAAAAAAAAAAAAAAAGAGAGAGAGAGTTTAAGAGAGTTTCAAGAGAAATGATGACTAAATGTAATGTTGGTAGCCTGGATAGAACTCTGAAACTAAAAAAGGACATTAGGTAAAAATTAAGGAAACATAAGCCTACACTTTGGTTAAGAAGAGTATATCAATATTAGCTCATGAATTGTGACAAATACACTATATTAATTTAAGATAATAATAATGGGGGCTGACCTGTGACCTTGTGGTTTAGAGGACTGAGATCCCATATGGCCAATCATGGTTTGAGTTCTGGTTTCAGAAGCTTGAGAAACATAGTGATAAATGCTCATATCTTGTGTTGGATTCCCCCCTTTATCTGAATAACTTGCTCTTCTTTTTCTTGGTAATTCCCTTGTTCTACTGCAAAATATACAAGAAGATTTCAAGAAGTTCATGGAAAATATACCAGATTTCAAAAAGTTAATGAAAAATGTAATTAAAGTACAGGTTTATTTTGGTGCAAAAAGTTTTTTGAAATCTATGCATTATTTTTTCATAATAAGCATTTTCTATGAACTATTTGAAGAACTTTTATAGTTCTGTAGCTTTGGTGGCATGATGGTTAAGGGGCTGAACACTCCCACATAGTTGACCATGGTTCAAGTCCTGGACCTGGTGGCTTGCTTTCTCACTTTCCTCTCTCTTTCTGTGTGTCTCTCTGGTCAAATTAAAATAAATGAATGAATGAATAAACTTGAATAAAATAATTCTTTAAATAAATAAATAAAAAGAAAATCAGTGTGTTAAATTTAAAAAGAAGAAAAGTTTCAAGAGAAAAAATAGTTTGGAAACTGTGTACCTGATATGTTTTAAATTCTGAGTATTATTAAATAATCATTTAACATGAGCAAAGAGAATTACAATAACTTTTTATAAGTTCTAATAAAGGTACTCAAACAAAATTAAGAAAGCTATTATTTTTAATAACTGGAACATAAAACTTACTCATGACAAGCAATTTGCATGCATTATTAAATCCTCTAGAATTTTAAAAATAAAAACTTGTGTAGTGTTCTTAATCTACTTATTTTTATTTTCTTCCTTTAATGTTTCTATATAATTTTTGACAGATTCCCAATAATATACTGTTTAAGTCATGAAACGAAAAATCTTTGAAAGAAAATCAAAAAACAATTCTGTTGGTGGTTTATAAAGCA